TCGAAATATCGACAGGGCTTGGATGGCGAAGAAATTCCATTCCAGGTAGGTGTTGAAGGTTTTGTCCAGTCAAGAGGCGTCGTTGGTCCCAAGACTTTGACCGAGTGTTGGTGCCTTGTCTTCGGTTGGCGTCGTTGGCGTTGACGACGGCTTTGCGCGCGCGATCTTGATCATAGGCATTTCAGAATCAACAGAAAAACGGATCTCTCCACCGTACGGACGTAGCTTGGCCATATTAGTGCGAGTTGAGTGTGAGGAACAGGGCATTTTTGTCACGGACAGAGGTGGAATATCGTTTTGCTTCGTGAGGTACCCGTAGCCTGAGCAAAGTCAACGATGCATCGTCTTGGAGGGGTACCATTTTGGATGCTGAGTTGACGGTAGATGGCCCGGTCAAGCGTCGGACAGACGAAGGGGCGTGATTATGTAACAGAGGAGGTGCTTCTGGTAGCAAGATTCGCAAATTCGCCGAGGAGGGGAATTTAGTTGTAGGTAGGCTCGCGATGCAGGTTGCCTCTCTGTAAGTAAGGGATTCTAAGATTGTGTGCGTTCTCGTAGGTAGTTTCCCAATATTCAATGACAGACTCACACCCCCCTCGGCAAGAAGGTACCGCGGGACGAGGTACTTTCTCGAAGAGGTCGCGGAAAGCGCAAGGTACATTGCCATGCTGCTGGGAGTGAGGCAGGCACTTAGAGTGCCTTACATAAGCCATCTATCTGCCTTAGTTGCCCGCATATCATCCCGTCATCTACAGCCTACAGGTGCACCTCAGGCACCATGACAGACAGGACGTTCCCGTTCCTCGGCCCTCGCGCATTCTCCATCATGCAGGCGCGTGGAAGGCGCGCTCACTTAATCGCTTTATTACTGCTTACTTTAGTTCGACCGGTCAGATAGATGCAGGCGCCAGCCGAGTGAGGTAAGATGCAGAAGCGGATGATGGCCACTGAGAGATATCCTTGGATCGGAACATGTACCTTGTCAAGTAGCTGCCTTTCCAACAGATTACGAATTCACGGGGCACCGTGGTTGATAATAGCGTAGCTCAGCTTACATGTTGGCAGAGTACCCAAGGTGCCTTACCTTGGATTCAAGAGGCGTTGTTTGCTATATCCCCAGGCATTCTGCTGTAGGTGCTTTGCCGACGGTAAAGGGTAGGTATAGACAGCCTCTTTCACACTGTTTGATTGTCCTGCTCTTCCATTCTCTTTTCACTTGCCTGCCCGATCCCCCGTCTCAGATCTATATGACCCCAGCTGAGCTGGACTCTTGTCTCCCCCATGCTGTCTATTGTGGAATACGCCGCTACGGAGGAGTACGAATACCTCGAACACGGACCGGCCGTCAAGCGAAGTGGACTACTGCGTATGGCGGCTGCTAGTCTGGGCAAAGACGATAGCAAGCCGCAAAGCAATAATTCCGTCAAACTAGCTACCAGCCCGAGGGCACGGAGACACGGAGGCACGGAGGGGAAAAGACAATGTCAGTCAACCCAGCAGCTTTCATTGCGTTTCTGCTCCATTACTAGCGTTGGTGCTGGCGCTGGCGCTGGCGCTGATACTGGCGCTGCTGCTCGTGCTGACGCTGGTGCCGGTATTGGTGCATGGCATCCCTGTTAATATCTCCCTGGCATCATCGTCGTCCGTGCCCACGAGCCCAGATGGGCAGGCCCAGAGTTGGAAGTGCTCCTCTTTTTCGAGCAGGCTGCATACTACGGAGTACTGCGTATTATCGAGCAGGGGTCGTGAGAAAGTGGTCATGCTGATGAATGAACCGTTTTCCCGTTTCTCGCACGCAGCACGCAGCACGCAGCACGCGGCACGCAGCACGCGGCACGCCTGCGCCTGCATTCATACCTTACCGTACGGAGAAGAGCCCGTTTTAGAGAAGCGTGTGATGACTACAATCTGTAACTTCCACTTTCAAGGCAGTGGTGGAGGTAAAATAATATGGTAAATGTGTGTGAATACTGAATAGTGTTCGCATCTCTGCCGGTACTCTATTGTCAAGTCAAGCCTCTTTTCCCAGGGTCATACTGAATTCAGTATATATACATGGGTTTCGAGTGCCATATCGATATGCAGAAGGTGCATTTACACGCCCTTTGCCGACTTGTTAGTCTTGTAGTCCGTACGCACGGAGTAGTAAGTTGCAACTTCTCGATGAAGCTGTCTTGACTCTTCGGATTCTTGGCTGACTTCTCGTAACCGTGAACTGGGGCACACCCCTGCCACCTTCAATTGTGTCCCGTTTTTCTTGAAGGAAGCAAAAGACTTTTTTTCTCCATTCTCGGTCTGTTCCTTCCCTCACTTTTTCCTCTGCCTTCAGGTTCCCCGTCGGTGCCTTCCTCTTGCACGTCGTTTGACTTGCATTCTTGAATTAAACCCACCCCCCTTTTAAATTTAATCCTCACCCCCTCTCTCATTCCCGCCGCCCGCCGCCCGCCGCCTCCGCCGGAAAATCCATTAAAGTGCGAACGAAGCGTGTGTTCTCTGAGGTGCTCGCCACACCCGAAAAACGCCGCCCGTCTGTCGCCGCCGTTCCTTCTGGGTCCCGGCAGCCTTCTGCGCGTTCTTCGGTTTTGGTGACTTTCCATTTGGTCTGGTCTAGTCCATGTACGTTCCCTGTCACCGTCATCATAGCTTTGCCCACTGCCAAATCCCAATCTCAAGACTCAATCCTCAATCATCCCCCCCCCGGTAGCCTTCCCTTTCACACCACACCCTCTACACGTTTCCACGCTCTACACTCCCCACCCCTCTTCTTCTTCTTCTCACTCACACACTCACCACACTCTCACACCCCCCCGTCGAGAAACTTGGAGACCTTGTCCCAGTCCAGTCCAATCCATTTCATTCCCAGCTTTCCCATCTTCCTTACTATGTACGTCGCGCGTTGCGCCGGGACATCTGCAACTGACCTGCCTTCTGCTTCTGCACCTGCCGCCGCTCTTGCTGCTAGTCGCTACCACTATCCGTACCTACTCTATACTGTTCGCTCTGCGCATGCACCAGCCCATCCCAGCCAGGCTCTAGCATCAACCAAGCTCCAGCCCGCTTCCCACACCATCACCTCGCATCGCACCTGCTGATGCGACCTGCTCAGCTGCGCGTTATCCGACCTCATCCCTCCCTCCACTCCATTGGCGATTTACCAGACCCTCATTCTCCCGGCTCGCGGGGTTCACCAGTTCCTTCTGTCACTGTCAGAGATACTACACACACCAACACCACCAATACCAACAACCAGCACACAGCTCTGAGCTCTGAGCAAATTGAACAACCCAGCCTACCTCAGCCACTACGACAACTACCTTACAGATAGACTCTATTGTTCGTACACGCTTCCCTAAACGCGCCCAGCATACACACCGCGGCAGGGCTACATCCAAATCAAGAACGCCATCGGGAGATAACCACGAGAAATCCACAAGGCTGCCTCGCAAATTGCTTTGCTGCGTACGACGTGCAGACAAATACAGAGCAACAAAGCAGCCGACGCTTACCTTACTTTGCGGCTTGCCTTCTTCATAACCACCGTTGATACCGACGACGCCCTTGCACCTCGCACCTCGCTCTCTTCAGCTTCCCACCATCCATCCATCCTGTCGCATTCCATCGCATACCGTCGCGTCGCATTACCTCGCTCCGTGAACCCCTGGTCAACTTGTCTCCGAGACCCTGACCAGCATCCTGTCGCCGTCCCTGATATCGACGACATAATCGACAACTCCGACCCATCGTCATCGTACTTGGCCGACTCCGTTCGCCCACGAGATAATCCCCGTCGCTTCTAGGCTGCGAAATCCCCTCCATTCGCTGGAAAGTCGCGTTTTTTTTCACCCACCCCCTCTCTACCACAGACACACACGCCTCGCGCAAACCCTCCGCGGGGACAGGAGCACAGAAGTCGCCCAGAAGGGCATTCGGCTGCAAGTTGACAAGCGCAAGCATCCGACTAGGCCGCTACACCCACAGGTACATCCAGCACTGCCTGTCGTGCCTTACCTCGTCTGGGTACCTTTCAGTCTCGCTGTCTGCCCGCCCGCCTGCTCAGGGAAGGGCACTTTGGCTTCACACCCCCAACGGCACGATTCGACGAGGCACCTTGCATTCACCCTCCCCCTCCGTACCACGACCTTGCCGTTCTCATCAGGTCGCCCACTTCTCCCCGTCCATCCATCATCTGTCTATCCTATCCGTACCATACTGCGTACCTACCTTACCATCTTACCACACGACGTCTTTGCGAACTCCAACCAACCATCCATCATCTTCCCTCCTTCACCACCCTACGCGCGCATCTCCACCGGCGACAGCCTTCAGATTCTGCGCCCACACTTCTTCTTTGCGTCTCGCCGCCTTGTTCACCTTGACGGGGGCTTTTCAACAGCTCCATTTCATATCATTCAGACGCCGCAGGAAACACTTCATTTGTTCCTCGCCGCGCGGAAATCAAGAAGGAAATTTCGGCAACCCTTCGCCACACGCTTCTCCTCCTCACATCTTACAAAGCTGCTGCACACAGGCCCCCTCGCCAAAGAACCTACCTACCCGTCGCGCCCCGGGCCCCAAGGACACAGACCCTATCCCATACTCTATTGAGTTCTACGGCTTGGTTGTACCGGCGCTGCAACTCAACTCTTGCATTTCCATCTAGAGTTCAGAGTTTCCTTAGCCATACGCCCCCATAACCCTCTTATTCCTGTCCTGCGGTACAGAGGAGCGAACAAAAGGCAAGAAAAAAGCTTCTATTTCGATTTCTTCTCAGGCCGCTCCCCCTACCCGTTGTTACTCGACATACTTTTCCGCCAGGGACATTTCAGAGCTTCGCGCCAATCATATGCACGCATAAGCCTGCCCTGCATCACCCAACGCACCCTCCCCAGACCCAGTGTCGCCCGCGACCCGGCCGGAAGGCAATCCAACTATATCAAGACACGTCTTTCGTTGTCCTGATCTTGACTTGACGAATTTACCGCGAGACGTTTGCGCGCTCAATGTACTCCACTCAGCCGAACGGAGCTGATAGTGCGACAATCAACCCGGCTGCCCTCAACTCTCCTGGTATGTTGCTTATTTCGCTATCCAGCGCCCCCCCCCCCCTCCCCAGTTTCAACACCCCCGCCTCCACCCAGCCTGCTCGCTAGCCGTCATCGCATTCCACTGTGAGGCCCTGGCCGGATTAGCAACCATTTCTCCATGCGCAACTACCACTTGCGCGCCCCCCTTCGCCTGTTTGAGCCATGGCTATGACCTTTCTTAACACAACTGTCCTGCCATAACATTATGCTGACGGCTTTGATCATCGTCTAGACCTGCTCAACGCAAGCACTCGCGGCATCAAAAGAAGCCGCTCCCCGGACAAGTTCCAGGGAAACCCACCTACAGGTATTACCGGTATGTCCTTCCCATCCAAAAAACCCATTCTTCCCCATCATGCTTGTACTGTTCAGCAGTCGCGCGTGTAACCTCTTGCTTCTTTCCCCGCCGCGCGCAACGCGATACAAGCTAATACTGGTGTCTCTGTAGGTGACTCCAACCCGAGAAAACGTGGAAAGTCATCCAAGTCGTCCAGATCATCCGGTGCCATCTCCGAGACTGCCGGTCAGGCCCCAGTAGCCAACATGCCTCAAAATATTCCACCACCACAAACCCCCCAGAACCAGAGCGCGCCGCTGCCTGGGGGTCAAGCCGTCAATTACGCGCCCACGCAGGCCTCCCCTCCGCCCAAGACGACGCCAACAAAGACTACCTTGAAAGCTCTTCCTACAGTCAGAGATCACACCACCGATCAGCTGAACCCCGCCGGCGACGAGTACCTCCCGAGAGAAATCGACGAGTTTGGAGAGAAGAAGGTGATGCCCAATGGCCAGTTGCTGGGCGGCCGCGAATACAGATGCCGAACCTTCCTAGTTCCCAACCGCGGGGATAAGCTCTTCATGCTGGCAACCGAGTGCGCGAGGGTTTTGGGATACCGTGACTCGTACCTTCTCTTCAACAAGAATCGGTCGCTCTTCAAGATCATTGCCAGTCAACCCGAGAAGGACGACCTCGTCAGCCAGGAGATCCTGCCGTTTTCTTACAGATCGAGACAAATTGCCATTGTCACCGCCCGATCCATGTTCCGCCAGTTTGGAAGTCGTGTCATTGTCAACGGTAGAAGAGTTCGGGACGATTACTGGGAGACAAAGGCCCGTAAACAAGGATTTACAGAGGCCGATCCCGCTGGCGAAAAGCGTCCAGGAGCAGCCAAGGCCAGAGAGGCCGCAGCCGAGGCGCAGAACCAGGTCCTGCTGGGCGGCCCCCACGGTGAGATCGTTTACAGCAGCACACCCAGCCAATTCCCCGGCGCCCCTCAACCCCAGATCGTCCAACCAGGTATGCTTGGAGCGCCAACCGGAACCACGACCAGAATGCCCGTGATAACACTAGGATCAGAGCTCAGTGACAACCGCCCTCGCGACTACAGCGGAATTCTCAAGGGTGGTCCACGCCAGGAAATTACCGGCCCGGCTTACCAGGACCAAACTCGACCTGCTCAGATTGGAGAAGTTCATGCCCAGGCCCACCACGCCGCCGAGTACAACCGGTCCCTCAACCAGCAACGAGAGATGCGCGGCGACTACCTCCAGGGTATTTGGAGAAGGCCGCATGAGCAGCCTCAGTCAGCGAACCTCGTCCAGAACGTTGCCACTAGCGAAGCGGCTGTGCCTGCTACCCGAGCAACACAGTCGCCGCATACTACGGCGAGCAATATGCCACCGCAGTCAGGCATCGTGCCCAACCAAAGTCCCCAAATGATGATGACGGCCCCACCGTACTCTCAATCGATCCATGCGCAGAATCCAATCAGTCAGGCTCCGATGAGAGGTATGGCTCAACCGTCTACCCAGAAGAACAACAAGCCAACGACTTTGCCTGCAGCCGGGAGTGCGAGCAGCATGCCTCAGGGTGCTCAGGGCTACCACTACCCCGGGACTGGCCAAATGTGGCCCCAGACGCAGCAGAATCCTCAACAACACAACTACTCTGGGTACACGACACAGGGCCAGCAACCCCATCAGCAGTCGCCAGCTCCTCAACTACGACATGCGACCAGCGGCGTGCAGCCGGGGATGCAGTTTTCGGGAATGCCAGGCATGGGACAGAGTTACGGTGCCGCCGGACAGGGAATCTACCCGGCAGACCAAACTCCGCGCCAGTACATGCCTCAGCCGAACCAGGGATCTCCGGCTGTGACGCAGGCCTGGTCCAACCAGCAAACGCCAGCTCAGTGGTGGTCCAACCAACCTCAATGAAGATCGGAGAAAAGAGTCGAAACACGATGACCCCCCATTCAACTCGCAAATTCGCTTCTACAACAAACAGCGTTGTGCCAACTACACTTTTTTGTCCCTTTTATATATATAGGTGGCGGTTACTCCCTGGCTTTCGCCGGTTTGGCAGCCTTGCTGCCCTTCTGAAGGATACCCAAGCATACAGTTCGGTGGAGGCTATGTGCTTTTGGGCTGCGGGCCTGTCAGTCTTCGTACAGCATTTTGGCCGAGAAGGATGGATAGAGGAGTAGTGGGGAACCAGGAACACATGGGCTCAGGTCCTGGGCGGAGAGAAAGGTCTTTTTCACTGTAACGCGCCTCTATTCGTGGTTTAGTCAAAGTTCTTTTTGGCATCTTAGGGAGGATGCATTGTTTCTTTTCCGTTGATCATTGTTGGATTCGGTTCTCTCATCCTCCTCATCACCCATGGACACTTTTTTTTCTGTTTCGATTGTTTCTGATTTCTTTCGCCGTTGGCACACGGGAACCTCCGACTTCAGTTCGATACCATCGCCGTCCACCATCACCGATTCGCTTCGCTTTACGCGCGCTGTCTTAGTTAGTCCTTCTCATCCTCTCGAATACACGATACCACACGAACACCACATCCACGCGTCCCCGTCACCGCGCAACTGAACAAACATCACTCCGCCACGTTTGCCGCGGCAATGTTGACGACTATGGCGGTTATGAGCCTCATTACTCAGCAGCCGTCGAATGAGGGAGGTGTGGCCACGAGGCCATGCACAGTGTCATTTCTTAGGGATCCTTTGGTGCCTAAGCTTTCAAGCTTAAGACCAAGCTCATCTCTCACGACGAATGACACTTGTGTTCTGGTGTGTTCTGATATCGAAATGGCCCGTGAGGTATGACCGGGCGCCTCTCTGACAGGGAGTCAAGGTCATCACGAAAGCGAAGAACCATGAGGGCGACAAGTCACAATATGGTTTTAAGGTTTACCCCCAATTCAGGGTGCATCCTTTTTCGAAGACAGCGAAAGCCATTTGGGTCTTGGAGGGCGCACTTGACATGGGCGAGGACCCTTTTCAGTCTGCACGTCGGCGGTCAAATTATTTTGGCCTTGTTTTATCTTTGTGTCGGCCGATACGGCAGCATCGAAGGAGTTGTATATTGCTTGGGTGAAACTCGATATTGGTTGTCATGTTTTGGTTACCAGGAACCCGGGAAGCGCCATGATCCGGCATCTGGGTGGGATTTGTTTCGTTTCTTCCGCGGCAGTGGCAGGGAGGCTTCTTTGGGATTGCATGAGGGCCGTGTCGATCGAACAACTGTGGCTCGTGTTTTGTTTTTTTCTCTGGGGTCTTTTTGTTTCTTGATTGTACAACTCGATTCACGACTTGATGGACGGTGCGGACACGAGTTAAGATGGTGGCTGTTTGGAGACACATTTGGAGGACCGTTAGTCTTTGGTTTTTTTCGATTTCTTCTCTTGAATGCAAATACGTTTTCCTTTCCAAATATTGCGCCCCAATGTCACTGACTACCTAATATGTATATGCCTGCAGGTTTGTTCTTCTCTCTCTCTCTCTCTCTCTCAGTTGGGACAACTATTTAAAACATGGACGAGGGTGACCGGTAACAGCGTGCCCCGGAGGATGCATGTGCCATCTGGTCGTGACTTTGAGTTTCTCCATGGTAGAAGAGGCTCGTTATCGGGACGAAGACCGGCATGTTGTGAGACAAGGGTCTGTGTACTCTTCTCAATCCATCAATACTGCAGGTGCAGCGGCAGGTTTTGGAAAGCGTGTCTGATCTTTTTCTGCGATGCCCTCCTAGGCTGACCCCCCCCCCCCCCCCCCCCCCGACGAACGGACTATTGCCGCTTTACCGCTGTTGTATTCTCAAAGTTGTCAGGTTCCCTCCCCGTCCACCCCTCCCTCTCATCTCTGTCGACCGGGTCCCACGGAACGATGATTCAAGGTGATGGAAGAAGGTTAACCGATTAATGTGATGTGGGATGTTTTGGGACGTTTTGTGGTGGACGTCTGTGGTGGACGTCTGTGGTGGACGTCTGTGGTGGACGTCTGTGGTGGACGGACGTTGTAAGTCCAAGTCTCTTGTCTCTTTGTCTCTTTGTCTCTCACGTGCCTTCAAGCCGAGCACCCCTCCCCTCCTTCCAACTCTCTCGGCCGAGGGAAGAGAGGATTAGAAGCCGAAGCCGAAGGCACTCTTCCGCCTCTACGTCCTCGTGATGAAGCTTGGGTTTGCTTTGGGTAACTAGTTCGGACTCTTTCAAGGGTGGTGGGAGAGAGAGAGAGGAGGAGGAGGAGGAGGAGGAGGATGGGTGGGTGGGGAGGGACAGGGTACCGAGATGAGTGGTACACTGTTCTCAATGTGCTCTTACACCACGGTTCACCCTCGTTAGTCTTGATCTGTGGTTGGATGATGGGAATGTGTCTATTAGGACTCTTGGATGACTTTCCTCCCCAACATCGGAGGGGAGGAGGACGGTCACCGAGGCTTGCTCACTATTCAGTTCAAGATGACTTGTAAAGATTAATTGTGTAGCTTTGTTGGACAAGAGGTCTAAACTGCAGACTCGAGGTGCCGAAGGGACGGATTACTCTTTTTTTTCTTTTTTTACATTACTTCTGAATAAGGGGGAGAAAACCCCCAAAAAAGACAGAAAAACTTGAGAAGTCTTGATAGAGTTCTACTTTCCCCTTGGAAACTGGAGTATAAGGAGAGCTCTTTTGGAGCATACTCTGTTTGGTGTGGGAAAAGGTGGGAAAGAATACGCGATTAGGAAAAGAAATTACTGCCCGGGGAGCAGATTTCTGAGAAGAGAGAGTGTGTGGGAGGGTAAAATGAAAGTTGACGATACCGAAGATGCGGCTCCTCGGGCGGACGTAAAAGGCTGTTGGAGCGTTGAGTTGGGGAGGTGTGCAAGAGTGCGAGCTTGGAGACGTAGAGGTACCTTGAACGAAAAAGACAGGGGGAGAGAGAGAGAGAGGAGAGAGGGAGGTGTGATGAAATGTGGAATGGAGAGAACCGCGTCTTCGGGACTTTCGGGGAGGATAAGATGAAAAACAACGAAGAAAACCTGGAGGAAGACCGTCGGCGATGGGTGTCTCGTGAAAGCGCCGCGCCGTCATGGTGTGTGTAGATGTCTTCCTCGGACCCTTTGTGCGCTGCCGAGTGGGATTAGTGAAGAGAAACACGGAGCGCGTTGGGAGGGTGGGTTGAGACCCAGAGATCCGGAGTGGGAAGAAGAAAAGGGGTGTCGCGAGAGAGAGGGAGAGAGATGGGAGGATCTATGATGAAGGTCGTTTGATAGAATGGTGGTGGTGTGTAGTGAATGGGTCGTGGTGACGGTGATCATGGGCAATGATGAATTGTGCAAGCCGACTTGATGGGAGTGTGAGTTGAGTGGCAAGGCTGAAGATGAGATCACCGCCCCCAGCGAAAGCGTAAAGCCTCGTTCGGACCCGAGCTGCCATGCCTTGCCTGCCTCCCCATCATCCAGTCGGCCGCTCCGAAGTTGCGATAGGTCCTACTGTGTGACTACAAGTGCACGAGGTTTATGTCTGCTTGTCCTGCTTTCCCGTTTCGTCTCGTCTTTGTGGGGGGAGTTATGGAGGTTTCCCTTTTCTTATTACCGTCTCCCACCCTCCCCCTTCTTTCCTTCCTGTGCGTGAAGAGGAATGGATGGAATGGATAAAGATGGGCCGGCGACGAACGGGGCTAGGGGCTGTACCGGAGGAACTGTTGGGGAGGGGAAAAGGGCACCGTCCATCAAAACACCAAGATAGGAAATGTTGAAGAAGGATTTGGCGGACGAGGGGAGAAACAGCCCAATAAGAGGTCAAAACAGAAAAGATGGGATTGTCATGTCTTGGTTTTTAAGCAATCATTCATGTTCGGGCGTCTGTGTGTAAGGAAATGTACGTGTGATCCAAGCATTGTACAGTGATTAGAGAATTGTCTATATTGGGATTTCCTATTTTGCTTTTCTTGCATGTCATCTGAAGAAACAGGATACTGACTGTTTTTCTTTTTTTGCCTTGAGGTGTAGGACTTGACGTGTTTTACAATCGGCGTTTGCAGCCTCTATATTTGCCAACATCTGCCATGGCGCGATCATGACGCTGACATACGCTTTTTTATCGAGGCTGTTGTAAGGGAAAAACCGCGAATACGATCGAGGGCGGCTCGCACGTGCAATATATAACCAGTGAAAGCCCCCAAATTATAAACCTTTTGGTGGAAATAGGTTCCGTATTTGCTCAGTATTAGCGTTGACCTCTACTATTCTTGGTATCTTGTTGACATCATGACTTTTTCTTCTTTTCTACGCAGATACTACAACCTTATGGTGTTGATCGTCGCTTTCGTAAAGAGCTTACTGTGGGGTGGCGTAGTAAATATACGCTTGATTGTCGTTCGTCTAAATGGGATGAGGCTAAAGTCGTAAGATCCAGTGACTCCTGGTAGGGCTGGATCGTGTTTTCATAGAAAGGTTATCTTAAAGACAATGAACCTATCCGCATGTAAGTTCGTAGGTTCGTGGCAGACCTCAAGAGTGTAGTTGCCTTCCGGTCCAGATGAACCGTGATCTCGGGGGTAGTAGGCGGCGCGTCTCCGACGGAGGGGGGGGGGGGGGGGGGCCGGGCCGTCGCGATATATCTTTCGCCGGCTCTTACGAAGAGACCGAGATTCCATACCAAGCCGACAAGCCAATAGCACCGTCACCAACGCGAATGCGAATAAAGAAGGAGAATCAAGATCATATCCCCCTCAGTGGCGTATTCGCACGAAACACATGTGTAGTATCAAAAAAATAAACCATTCGCATTGCTTTCCTTACATGACCCAAAACCGGGGCTGAAGCTCCCCGTTGCAGCCCATTCTTTTTGCCCTCATCACGCTAGGTAACCTCACATTCCCCCTAAACGTTCAATCTCTCCTCGTCACCCCCGAAATAGGAGATTCACAACGAGACTTAGTCGCTCTCGTCCCCGTCGAGCGCCTCATCGACGTCACTGCCCTCGCCCTCCTTCGTCTCCAACGCATCGTGCATCTCCTCACTGCTGCCTTCCTCCTCGTCGTCGTCATCCTCTTCTTCCTCCTCCTCGTCCGCCTCCTCGTCTTCCTCTTCTTCGGCCTCCTCCTCGGGCTCCGTCTCCGCGTCATCGGCCTCTTCGTCAACGGTCATGGCTGAGTCGTCCACACGGGCCTTCTTTGAGCGAGGGGCTGTGTCTGTGGATGCTGCGGTCATGACGCTGTCGTCAGGGTTGGAGAGGAGGGATGCATCTGCTGATGCTGTGCCTGCTGCCCCGGCACCGCCCTTCTTGGCGGCGACCTTGTTGCGGTAGTTTGTGCGTTTTGCGTTTTGGATTTGGGTATATTCTGAGATTCAAGTCAGTCGTGTTGTCTCTTTGCTTAGTGTAGATGAGTAAGATAGAGGAGTGAAACCGAGATTTACGACCTGTAAAGGCGATCTTTGGTGGTGACATCGAGAAGAAATTAGGGTAAACTCACTCGCAAATTCCTGCTCTAGGGCCTCTCGCAGGAAACCGAACTCGATATCATCCAGAGCCTTGAAGACGTCTTCAGCGCTCACAGTCTTTTTGCCGGCATTTGTTGTGATCTCATTGGCACTAAGATTCACAATGAGAGTTAGCTTCACCTGTACTGGACAAAGATGGCCTCTGCTCCTGGTTGACATTGCTGCCCGTTTGGACAAAGAATCTCAGAGGGATGCAAGAGTGGTTTGACGCACTGAGAAGCTAGGTGGTTGATAAACACCGTCGCGCTCTTGCCCATGGCTAAAACGGCATTGGCCTGAATCTGAGTCTGGGGTGGTAGGACACCCTTTGCCAGCCTCGTGATGATAGACTTGGGCAAGCTGAGATCCTGCGGATTACATTATAATCAGCCAAGCCCAGCACATTGTTTGCAGCATCACACGAATGTTCTCCTTACCTCGATAGTGAGTGCGTCCCTATCCGCCTTGGCCATCTTGTCATGCGTTTGACTCTCCTTCTTCTCAGTCGTCGCTGGCGTCGACTTTGCAGCCGCCGCCGCAGCAGCAGAATCAGGCATCGGCGCGGGCACACTGGACGGCGTCGCTGAGGAGGTGAGCTTGGCCGCCGATGCTGAAGACGGGGTACCGGCGGCGGCAGCGGCAGCAGGTGCCGCCGCGGCCTTGGCAGGTGTGGTGGAGGCAGAGGGTTCCTCGTCCATGACGATGAAGCGGGCGTTGGACACGTCGCTTCTCCGGCTCGCGTCGCTTTTGCGCGGAGGCATGATTTGTGAGAGCGAGTGGGAAGGTCGAGGGTAGAGGGTCGAGGGTCGAGGGTCGAGAACTGAGTCGGGTAATGAGGTAGCGGGTGCTAGGAGGGATTTATTGTGGAGAAGGATGTGAGGAAATGGAGTTGTATCCCGTACTCCGTACACGACCCCTGGACGCTTTTTCTTTAGCTTGGTTGTCTCAAAGTCTTCTTCTTCCCCGTGGGTTTGCGTGGGTTTGATGGAGAAGTAAGCAGTTCTATCCTTCCGTGGTATCGAGAGCTGATTGTTCTATCGATTTTTGTCGACTGCGTGCCGAGGAGTTGAAGTTTTTCATGTGCAGGGAAGATGCGATAAGCCCCTCGGGATGAGCCGTAGTCCACGGCTTTGGGTAGATGGACCAGGAGGAAGCTTGAGCTCGCAAAGCTGCTGCACCCGGGCCAATTGGGATATCTGAAGTAGCTGAAAAGACCCTTTCACTGTCGCGGACGAGGTGGAATCAATGCCTTTCGAGAATCTAGAAGCGGTTCTCGAAGCGGTGGGCAGGACAACGAGTGGTTGAGGTGCGCTGTCGTCGTTGGCCAGCGCGTCTTGCGCTCCAGTGGACGCGACCTGGACCCATTCTTAAGGGCGGACGCGTTAAGTGCATCTGTCATTCTCTCATCTCAATGCTTCACTCACCGTTCTCACCCAAGGCTCTCACTCATTTCGTCCACTCACTCATTGTACTCTTTCATTTTCTCATTAACACACCATAAACGACAATTGGTATCAATCTTTCAAAGGCACTCACTCTTTTGAATACCAGCATTATACATTATCTTAAGCATTGACAAGTATTCACCATGATTGAGCCCAGCAGATACAACTCATTCTTATGCAGCCATCTGAGCTGGCGAGAACTTCCATTATCAATTGACATGAGTTCATACTAACTTTCCATACGTATTTACCTAGGATGAGGACAATCTAGGAAGAAAAAACTAGATCTTCACACGAAATCCAATTTTGGATTTCTTCAATAACAAGGCACTTGAGGCGGGACGAACAAGATCTTCTTCACACACATTAGCCTCGACCTGGCAACGTTGTTTTAACGGAACTCAACCTGAGCCCACCATCGTCCACCCCCATTTCACCCATTAACGTACATCCCAACAGCTCCAAGATCGCAAGCCATCTCGCATCTTCCCCGATCCTCCTATTCACACCTCCCGTAACCTCGTCCCCGATTCGCCCTCCCATGACTCAGAATCCCTCGTCTCCTCATCCTCTATCTCTCCTTGCGGGACCCTGGGAATATAGAACTCAGACACCCCAAAAATGAAGATTCACCTTCATTCATCTCCCCTGCTCCCATATCTCTACCTCCCCCGCAAACATCCGAATTTAAATCGTGAACCCGCAGATATGACACGACGAAGACGCGCGCGCGCGCGGGGAGAAAAGAGTCCAGAACTACAACGCCGAGGGAACTACACTCGAAACGTCATGACAGATGTCAGAAGACCTCGGAAGGAAGAGATGAAAAGTAAGAAACATCCGAGGGAAGAGGTGTCCTACATCCCCCGATAATTCCGAGATGGACAGCTTTTCCGAACGAATGAAATCCCCATCACGACGAGGGAAAACAAATGAAGACAAGAAGAGGAAATGACAAAGTGTTCGATTTCGACTGGTATGTGCCCCGTTCTGCATAATGATGAACCGACAAATACACACGCCACAGCCTCTTCACGACCATCCGTACCTCCGAGTTAATAGTGGCATTACCATTGAAGTTATGACGAGAAAAAGAGGCATCTAAGCGTATGTGTCTAAATGCGAAGACACCACTCAAAAGGCAAAGACAGGTTGTTCACCTCACAATGCCATATCCACGACACACACACACCTTTCTTTTCCCGTGCTTTTCTTCCCTCGCCTCTTCCTCCCGCCGCTTCGCATCGTCCCCTATGCCCAACTTTTTGCACACCCACTCCTCCGGCGGGGAAGAAAGGCATCGCGTTTCACCTGTCCCGCCTGCCATCGTGGCCCGTCATCCTGGGATGGCAGGTGTCGCAATGTGGCCAACGCCATGATGAAGGAGGGAGGGGAACACGGCAAAGCAAAAAAAGAGGGAAAACAAGAACACGACACCAGAGTGTCATCGAAACCTTGGCTATGAAATCTTGCTTTTTCTCCTCCATCGCCCCCCCCCCCCTCCCCTTCCGTTCCCGCCCGTCAGTGATGTGCCGGTGAGCATATTTGTGTTTAATGAACCCTTCCTCTCTTCTTCCAAGATGCTGATGTGGGAGGAGCACACGACCCATGCTCCCTGTTCCGCGTTTCACCAGCGATTCTTGGGGAACTTTTGGTGTTGTCGGGCTGTCAGCAGCCTGGTTCGACGTGAGGGTTGCCGCCTAAACATGGGATGAATGAGCGCTCACCCGCGCGCTCTGCTCTACCGTTCGCGCACGCAAAAAGCTTCCCTCCTTTGCAGTGTGACAAGTGACAACCTGTTCGTTGTAGACTTCCTGACTGCAAAGAAAATCGGCGCTATTGAGGCCAAGAATCGACATTGCCACCGACGCGATTCACCTTGAGTCCATACACATCACACAAAGCACGTTGGGATCTAGTTTGTAGCACTTGATATATGGCTTTTATTTGAATTTGTTTCGGGGCTAAGTTTAGTTGCCCAGCGAAGTATTTAGAGACTTAATATAGAAAATGGCTGCGTTGCAGCTGTAAGTAGACCGTTTGTCATGTGGGTATATCCATCACCATTCCAAAATGTGGTATTCCGTCATTAGTGACTCCAATGAACCACCGTTCAAGGAAAAAAGATGTCGTTTCAGACATCAAAGCTTCTTGACGAATGTGGCAATTGTGAAGCGATATAATGCTCGCTCAATCAAGAGGAACATGAGAGGGGAGTTGGGTCGCATCAGATGCGTCCGCCGAGTCTTCCGCGCCACTACAAAGAGGGCATCGCGAAGAAAGCTCGAAGAGTGATGGTGGCGGGGAGGATTGAATAGCCATGAATTTCCATTCTGAGTTTGATACGGCTGGCCTCACCCACCACCCTCGTGATGGTGTTAAGCCACATGGGAGTTGAGATATGCTGCCATCCATCGGGACATGAAACAAAAGTCCCATGCGATAGCACACCCCGCACTTTCTCTAGTCCCGCGGGAAGAGCGCGAGGGCTGAAACGAATGTCGTAGTCTAGCGTGTGGCGTGCTCCTTTCATCCGCAGGGTTTGTTGCAACGGATTTCTTGCAATATTCGTAAAAGTTGGTTGTAAGACAAGGCGCGGCGTTAGAGAGGTCTCCTCGGCCGGCGTAGAATCGTAAAATGTAACTTCAGCCTACCGCGAGACCAATTTCTGATTGCCGTAGAAAAGGGCGTGGGGAGAGGCCACCCATGTGATATTCCTCATCGAGTGAAAGTCTCGGAGGGTTTGAGGGAGACGAGTAAACGCGCTGGTGCTTCCCATCCGAGTGTGCCGAAGAAGGCATCCGGGAGTAAGGGTCCACCGAAGGGCGGGGGGACAGTTCTGTGTCGGTGTGGTAACCGTACCAGTGCTCGCGCAGGCTACCGACACTCGCGCTGCTGCGAGAGCTGCAGTGTCTGCCATGACGAGGAGACGGCAACTTGGATAGTCTGGAATTCTGTTGCTTGGGAGATGGGAGGAAGGCGAGGTCACCCTCGACGGCGTCGTCAGTGAGACCAACGCGGGCATTTGGGGCTCGTGCGAGAACAGGAGTTTGAGGGATATCAATGCTCTTCTTGTCCATGCTCCGCTTGTGATACAGAGAGCGTGGTGCCGTATCCGTAGAAGGGCGTGGCTGGTGCTGGTTGTGATTTTGATAGACGATCACGCTGGCTGGCTTGCGAATGGAACCAGCCGAGTCATGTTTGTCCACAACGACGGTAGTGCACTTCTCAATTGTCCGGCAGGCCTTCCAAGACTCGATCTCCTCGTCGTCAATCGGGCTGTTGCCCCGGCGGCTGAATGGGAGGCGGCCACGGCGGTAACGGTAGCAGAGAAAGATAGCTCCGATAATGATAATTACTCCAAGCACAGAGAGTACAGTGCTGAGAGCAACAACAAGGCCGCGGTTGCCCTCAATACCCTGTGACTTGATTCCGTTCATGGCGCCGTGCTGGTCCGTCAAAGAGGTTGAGCTTGGTGCAGCTGGCGCCGGTAGGTTTGGGGGTCTGCTGCCAGCATCAGTCGGCTGAGCAGGTGGAGGCAACGTGGTCAGTGGAATTGAGGTTGGCGGCGGAGCTACAACGATAACAGATGCCGTTGAACTTGACTGAGGAAGCTTGGGCGTTGAACTTGGTGGTGCACTCGGCTGGGAAAAGACCGGTGGAGGAAACGAGCGAACTGGAGTTGGAGAAGACGAGACTGATGGCACTAGAGGTCGCGAAGTTGAGACTACGGGACTAGAGCGCGGCGTTGTCGTTAGCCTTCGAGTCTCAACCGAGGTGGTCTCCGGGGGTGGCGGCGGAGGTGGTGGAGGGGGCTCCTGATTTGGAGGGGTTTCCGGGACCTGAGGGTTTTCCAAAGGTGGAGGAGGCGGCGGTTCCTCGTTATGAGGAGGCGCTGGAAGATGGTGTTAGCTTTTTGTCCAATTTATATGCAAGTCATATGAGAGTGAAACGCAAAGAAAATGTTCAAAGGTATCCAAAGGGTCAGTCAGTTGAGGCAAGGCGGGGCTCGGATGAGATTGTCGGTGTGATAAAAACGGCAGATGAGTGAAGGCATCGCAGACTGAGTGTTCAGTGCTAGGGTTGAGCCAGGTCACACCTTCTTTGCCTTTGCCTTTTCCCTTTCCTTTTCCCTTGCCCTTGCCCTGTCTTTCCTCTTCAGTTTCGAAATCGGTGGTGTCGTCTCTTGGATCCAGGGCTCTGGTAGGTAATGATAGGCTCGAAAGCCAAACCACCGTGGAGAGCAGCTTCGTCGTTGACATCGTCCAGTAGGTATTATACGCCGATTCGGTGTGGATGGGCCAGCCCGATACAATATATGGAACAACCCAGTGTTCGTATTACAAGCCAGGGTTTAAAATGTTGCCCAGCGCCATGGACAAATTGCACCACTAGGCTTTTGGGTTCTTCCGTGATAGGAACAAACCGACAAATAGAAATACAAAGAAAACAAGAGCTTATAGGAAAGGGTGACAAACAGTTTTGGGTGTATGATCTCGGCACCTGGTCAGGATGACAGACAGGCCAGAGATCAGGTTCCACGACTCCAAGATTGACGATGGGAGCCGGTTGATGCTGGAGACCTTTAAGAAAGGGAAGGGGACGGGTTGGAGACGAGGAAGAGAGGGTCGCGGAGACCGAATCAAGGAGATAGTGGACGGGCTGTCCTGGGTTATGTATATACCTGCCATGTCAGGTGTGGGAAACGCAGCAGAGAGCACCTGGTTCCTTGGATGCGGCACTTGCGGCAGCACTGACATGGGAACGATGTAAAGATTGACGGGCGGTGGCACCTTGGGCCACCTTTGCAGCCACGCACACACGATGTGCGGATACACCACGCACTTAGACATGTACACACACACTTGGTGCATACTCCGTACAGCGAGGAAGAGTGTGCTGGGAGAGAGACAGGGTAGGGATAAGCTGTACAACCGTGCACCCGCTTGGGAACGACGGCATGTGAATAATCTCGCAAGGGTATTATGGGGCCTTTCCGGGGGTGTGGCCATGATCCGTGATGCAGGACAGGATGTTGAGATCCTTTAGTGGGGTGTGCGCGTGTGTAGGAGGAGGGGGAGGCGAGAAGCTGAGAGCGAGTAAGTGTGTGTGCGTGAGAATGTGTGTGTGTGAGAGAGAGAGAGAGAGAGAGAGCCAAAGAGAATGGTGGTGGTCAGTTGCGGGTTCCTGTGCCTAGTGTGGAGGTGTCTGTGGTCAAGAGAAATCGTCCGTGACGAGTGGGAAGAAACGAACGAACCGAGCTTCACACAACGCATCAGGTTCAAGACAGTGGAGAGGTGGATCTGGGTGGATCTGGGTGGAGCGTTCGGAGGTTGAGTTGTGTGTCGGGGTCCATGAACAAGGGGGGGAGGGGTGAAGACAAGAAGACAAGACGAGACGAGGGCAGCGAAGGCTTGGCTTCTGAGCGGGAGAATTTCTGAGGAGTTGAGACTCATGAGAGAGAGAGAGAGAGAAGTGAGAGGCCACGAGAGGGAAGACAGGCACTCAGGAACAGGAACAGGGGTGGGCAGACGAGAGGAAAAGAGGGGTGTGTGAGTGTCTGTGTCTAGTGTGCATGGCGTCCTGCGGTACCTGAGCGTCTGCGGGTAGCCATTGGAGGACGTTGTGGTGTTTCTAAATTTTGACTTGGCTGGATGGGACTGGCTAGACTGGCATAAGCGGTGTTGCTGTTGGTGTCGGTGCTGGGTGCTTGGTGCTGATGTCGGTGTACCGGCGTTGGCTTTGGTGTTGGATCAGATAGAAGGACAGTTGAGCGACGTGGAAGAAGATCTGAGAGAGGATCATGGCGGGATCGGGAGAAGGCTGGGAATAGCAATATGGAAGGACAGACTTGAACCTTCTTCTTCCCCTTAGTCTCTCAGGTCAGGCACGGAAGCTTACCTTACGTCAGGTAAAGTCTGGTCAGGTACGGCACACACACACACACACACATTCTTTCACTCTCTCACACACATTCTGTATACACTACACGTAGAAGACAAGGTCCAGGGACTGTATCGGCCATCAGGGCAGCTTGTGTCTGTTGTTTCTTGATCTTCCCGTCTGCAATCGGTTGGTTGCACAAGGACCTTCGGGATGCCGATGACGAGAACGAGGTGGGATGGCAGAAGGGAAAGAATAGATAGAGTCTGTGTTCGAAACAAACGCCCGAGGATGAGCTAAATTGACAACCCATCGAGGATCAGCATCGAAAATCAACGACACGAGTCCACGGATGCAGCGCGGCTATCACTATCGCCGGATCACAACGTGTGGAGGAGTCGGAGTCGGAACCGGGACAGAGTCGGAGAGAGAAAGACAGGGCTTGTTTGTCGGGTCGACCAAGACACCGACCGATCCTCTCGGAGCTTTTTCTCTCCTCGTACACTTACAGGCACCCGGGCAGCCTAAACAGCCTCATCTTAATTACTCTGACCAGTGGTTTGTTTCGACGTCCAGACAACATGGGGGGACACTGAGCAGGCTTGATGTGATGCTGCCCAAGCTGGGTTCCCAGAGAGCGGATTGTATGGTCTGGATGGTGCCATGTGGTTCTGCGCTGATTTCTGACCACAGGTTCGTGGCCGTTTATGGGGGGAGGGGCTCTTCCAGGACCCAGCCATGCACAAGGGTTAAGGACGACCCAGGAACACACCAGGGCTTGTGGAATGGTGTTGAAACGGAAGGGCGAATGAGCATCGAGAAGCCCTCTTCCTCCAGGCTGAGCTAAAGCAGAGCCACGATAAGCAGAGGCAGGCTGGGTTTATGGTTAAGTTTGGAACGGTTGGTTTGTAAGTGAGAGCATGATCGTCTTTCCCCCCTCTTCCTCCATCTCCACAACCTCCACAGAGGAAACATTGAGGATAGACAACTGCCTAGTCGGCAAGCTGCAGACAGGCTATTGAAAGGAACAAAGGAAAAGAAACCTTACCGGGTGTGGGATTAGGTGCCCTGGCTGCTGTACACCGTGATGTAGCTGGGATCGTAATGTGCCCTCGGGATTGAGTGAGACCATCCCTCTGTCCCTGCCCCATTCCATCGAGGTGCAGCACGGAAAAGTTCAGACCCCCGGCAGCAACGTGAAAAGATAGATCTCATGCAGATTCCATTACGCAGGCACCTTTGGCTAGGACGGGGGAGGGGGGGAGAGAGAGGCTGGAGAGAGGGGGAGAGAGAGGCTGGAGAGAGGGGGAGAGAGAGGCTGGAGAGAGGGGGAGAGGAGGGGGAAGAGGAGAAGCAGGGCCTGCAAAATGCAAAATGCAACGTACAACGACCGTACAGCACGCATCCCGCAGCAAAGCAACCACATCGACGTCCATCTCCGCGAGTCTTGTTGGATCCCATCCTGCTGCGGGTGTTGCTCGGTCCGGAGATGGGAGGACTCGAATGCTTCTAATTTGGGCGTTTGGTAGCACTTTTGAAACTCAAATGTGCAGAAACATTACACACCCATCTCTTTTGCCTGGCGAAGTTTTGACGGCGGAAACCAACGGCAGATATCCAGCCCAAGCCGGAATCCCGAGTCTTTGCAACATTGAATCTTTGGAACAGAGTCATGCTAAGTTCCATCGTGAAGCCAAGAAACCTTACGACGCTTTCCTACGTAGCCTCGACTAATACCTAAGCAAGGTACCTGGGTATTCGTAGATAGGCGCCGAGAACGAGGGACACAGACGCGGTTGCAGAGCACTAGAACAAGCCTCATTTTGGTCACAAACGGAAAGAAAAGAAAGGAAGAAAGAAAGCGGGACGCCCTTGCCGACTGTTGGTGCAAGTGCCAAGTCCACCGCGTCTAAAACAACTCAAGTCATAAGGTAAGGATATGTGGACAGGCAAGCCGCAAGGTGAGGTAAGGCAAGGTAAGAAAAGGTAGGGTTGGGTAAGGTGAGGTTAACCATCCCGATGAGCCTCGAGGAGACACGGGAAGAAGAAGAAGGAGGGGAGCGTTGAGCGATGGGTACATCCCATGCCTTAGTAATTGGTACGTACTCTGAAGTGGAGCACTCGATCTGGACGTCTCCTCCTCCTCCTCCTCCTCCTCCTCCTCCTCCTCCTCCTCCTCTCATCCCGTCTTCTTCCGCCGCCAACCACCCTCGACTACAACACCAAGTATCTTCACATCGAGCCATCAGTCAAGCGTCAATCAACTCACACATCAACGCCTACTCACGTGTCGGAGTCACCGTTCCAAGTCCACCACAGACCTCATCCTCGACCTTTCAGTACCCGTCACCCGTCACCACTGGCTATATGTATTTTCGGACACCTAAACGTGCGGTCCGGTACGACGAAGAACGGCCGTGCCAAAGCCTGCGAACACGTACCTGTCGCACGCTACCTCAGGACTCGTGGTGCTGCGCCTGTTCTTGAGCAAGAGCCAGACCAATTCGTCCTAGCCACCTACCGTCCGCTAAGGTGTTTGGTGGGCAAAGGTGAAGCT